AGGGAGGGCTCTGTGGAGCTCATGGCCCCATCCTCCTCTCAGAGGGTGGAGGTGATGGTAAATGCTTTTTCCAGGATGGTAATGCTGTACAGACAGAGACTGACATCTCCGGAACCCCAGGGGATGCTCTGTGACTTTGCATCACTCAGGTTTCTCCAGCAAGAATGCACAGCTCTTAGGTGAGTTTTACTCCAAAAATACTTTTTATTTGATATCCTTTCTTAATATATTTTTTTAACCTATGCCCTAAATTACAACATGATATAAAAGATAAGATACTATCTGTTTCTCTTACACTGTTCATTTCTTTCTATCAGATATTAGCTATTAAACCACAGGGCTTTTGCAATGCAGAGACATTATTGCAGATGAGTGACCAGGCCTAAGCATTCCAAATGTCTGGCTAGTTAGGAATGAAAATGGTTCCCAATATGAGACATGAAAGCATAAGCGAGTTAAATCAGAGTGCAGAAAGGAAAGGAAAGATCACCGAGGGTGATCTGCACCATCTTGGTCCATCTAACACAGAGGTGGATCTTTTCTCCTTCTTGCAAATCTCTCCCTTTGGGAATGAGCAATACTTCCTCTTTCCACACACTTGGACTCCGCTAAGTTTTGAGTGGAGTTGTTCACTTGACTGCAAGCAAAGATGTCAGCGGCCTGTTTTTTTGGAAGACACATGCTGATCCAAGGGAAAACAAAACAAAATAACAGAGGGCAAATCTTTCCCTTTCCCTCAACTTGTGCGATTAGGGAGGATTTTATTCTGAGCCCTGGTAATGTGGGACCATCTGTGTTGGCTCCAGCAGGTCCCATTCCCCAGCTCCTGTGCTTAATTGCACTTCCATTGGCAACTTAAGCAGTTGCTGCATGTGTTTCAAATGAACTCTCCACTTCAGGCTGGTTTTACTGATCACCTTTGTGTGATTGGCAATTAAAGCCCTTTTCAGGCAAGGGAGAATTATTGCCTGTTTTTCAGCTTGTATCTCCCTCCTTCAGCTTGCTCTGCCTTTTGCATTTTCTAATATTCCCTCAGTTCCTTATCTATTGCAAAAGCCTCACATGGAGCCATTTGTCTCTTCCTTTGATGAGAACCATGCCTTTTGGGAGACCATCTGGGTTTTTCCCAGCAGAACAGGATGGTCTCCAGTGCTGCAGCAGATCTGCCCAGTTTTAGGTGCTTGTGGGGAATAAAGGAGGAGGCAAACAAAACAAAATAAGAGATTGAGAGCAAAGGAGAATGAACTTAGCCCAGTGTTAAATCCATCCCTGAAGCTGTGGTGCAAACAGGAAATGATCTCTTAACACTGTGCACCTGCATCCCGGGAAGAGCATCCAAAAGGGGCCCAAGCCCACGGCAGGGTCTGGAGGAATGGCGCTCACAAGCCCAACTGCAGGGATTTTTAAGACTCCTTGGCCAGCTTCAGTCCTTGCTCAGCTTCTGGTTCCTGCCTCCTTGTGCCTTTGCCAGATGCGCTCTCCTTTCCCTTATCCTACAGTAAATTAATGCAGTGCTGTTGAAAAGTATTGAGGTGACAGCTCTGGAAGCTGGGGCGCAGTGAAATGCTGGGATGCTGACAGCATCTTGGTGCCCTGCACAAAACACCATGGGTTTAATGCCTGGTGCATGGCTGGTATTTGGAAATAATGATGCTGCTGATGGGCTTTTAGCAATCCAACATGGGCTGGAAACATCAAACCTGGGATCTTGCAGCTCTCCAGCTACCCCATGCCAAAGCTCATCAGAAGGAATTAAATGTGTACACACAGATGAAAAAGTGCTTATGTGGAGCCTGGGATGGCTGCTCCCAGGCCCATTGTGGAGCCTCCCTGGCTTAACCCCACACAGCAACAGGGCGTCAGTGGCTAAGACAGGAACATCAGCAGGACCAAAACCAGAGCAGGAGGGAAATACCCTGCTCAGCCAGGAAGCGGGTTGGGCTGCTGGGAGGTGGGGTGGGTGTCAGTGTCTGTGCTCTCATTAAAACCCAGCTGAGGTTGACAGTGCGCCTGGCCAAGGTGCCACCTGAAGCACAGGTCCTACCGGGTCTGCTGGCTCTTCCCTTCCGTTCAGGAGTGACACAAATCACAGCATCCCTAAAGACCCGACACGATTTGAGAGGAAGGTCTGATGTCATTTTGAAACAAGTAAGATCACAACAGAAAGAAGGTGATTCCCAGCAATGCAGACTCACCCTGTCTGAGGCAAACAAACCCCCTTCTAATCACAACTTAACAGGGGAATTTGCCTTTTCTTTGCAAGACAGGCAAGGGCCCGTGTGAAGCAGTGCCTGACCTGAGGAGCATGCCTGGCTCCCAGTTTGCCAGGCACTCAAAGGATGCAACCACTTGCAAACAAGTGTTCTGCCCTGGCTCAGTGCTGTAAGTACAAGCTCAGGTCAGCGTTCCCAAATCCGTTGTGCTCCCCTCCCCACCCTACAGATGAGAAGGAAGAAAGGGGTCAGAATGCCTTTGGCAGCAGAGACCTAAAGCTTGGAAAAGCCTGAAAGAAATTGCCTGCAGCTGCTGTCGTAGCAGGCTAAAACCCAAGCCATGACAGTACTTTTTGGATTCCAGTGGGATGGGAGAGGTGTTTTCTCGAGGCTCACTTCCCCCTGCCCCGCAGGGGGTTATAACAAAGTGATTGTGGGATTTAAGTCCATGATGGTGGGATTAGGCGTTTCTCAACTGAGACTGTTCCACATTCTTTCCCCCTGATTTGCCACTTGGTGCTCTCCCCTGACCAGAAACCGGCTTGCTCAGCTCCCATTTACACTGCTGGAAGAGTTTACAGCACAGCCTCAGCCCAGCGTCCCTTCCTAGTGTATGTGCCTTGATTTAATGCTTTGATTTGAAAGTTATTTTTTATAATAAGAGAAAGATGGTACATGCCAAAAAAAGCAGTTTCATAAAATGCTGAACATGACTTGCATTCTGTAATTGCAAACCTGAGAGACTTGGAGTAATTGACATTTTGGATGTATTGCAGAATATCATATTTAATCTTGAAAAGCAGGTTCCAGGCAAAGGAGGCAACTGCCAAGCCAAACTCGGACTCCTCAATGGGTTCCTACCATAACTCATTTTCAGATCCATTCAGCACAGTTCTGAACCTAAATGTTTACGTTTTTGATTTACTAAGATAACATTCCTGGGTCACTGAAACTGTTTGTCAGGGAAGGTCTCCGGGAGACAGCAGGAATTAGTGATGCGCTGGCTCAAGCCTGGGGAACACGTGAGGGGTGCTCACACTTCAGAGAATTATGTCAGTCTCCCGTGATCTGGGGGATGGCAGCAAGGTCTTACACCCCCACCATATGCTCTGATGGCTGTTTGGATGATGCAGGAGTGCGCACCCTGTTTATAGACGTGGTCCTTGAAGCTAGATGTGGGAAATGCCTGAGGCGTAATAGCATAGAGAGCTCTGCTCCAGGTCCTGTGCAATGGGCTCCTTGCTGCCAGGATCCCCATTCACGAGTGTGTGAAATTGCATGAATGTGGGACTGGACACAAATTGCATTTCACAGAAGTGTGACTCAGTGCATGTGTATTTTTGTCAGTGCATGACTTCAGTGCGCGTGTAATTTTATAAACGTGTGGGATGTGACTGATGCTCGGTGAGCGAGTCTAAAGCGGGAGCTGCGTTTCAGAAGCCAAACTTCCAAGCTAACCCACGGGTTCTACTTTTCCTTTGTCTACAAGTGCAGCTTCTGTAAAGTATCTGTCCCACATTATCGTGGTTTACAGCCTGGCTATAAACATTTGCTTCTGTTTGAAATACAACAAATATAAGCGGAAATCTGCTCTCTGCTTTATGCATCCTGGTAAAGGATACCAGTCAAAGTCTTTAAAAGGGCCAGCCCTCTTCTTGCAAATAGAGTGTTTACATTGCTACAGATTTCAGTGGAATGGATACTAATTTACAATGGTGCAAATGAAAAGAAAGCAGAAAACCCAGGAATGTAAGCGGGAATTATACACCCTGACCGTGGAAATGAAGACACAGCCCCGGCACCACAGCTCTCAAAAGCATCGGCTGAGCCACATTTATATTGGGCCAAATTCTGACTCAGTGACTCATGCTGGATAGGGCCAGACATTTGAACTGCCTTCTTAAAGGTCTCCTTGCAGGGCTCCTGGGACCATAAGTTATTTCTCGTGAACAGCAATGGGGCCAGGCTTGTTTGTGAGATTTGTTATAGCTGCTTCCAGGATCCAGCCGGGATTAGGATGGTGTTGAATTTGGTGCCAAATGCACATGATGGAAATACTGCCCTTTAGCTATGAGGGTATGGGGGGAAGGAGCTTCCCTTCCCCTCTTCTGGGGTGGGTTTTCCAGCAGGGCTGCCAGCCCAGTTTGGGGATGATTTGAGGGTCAAGGCTGGCATCGATTGCGAAGAGGTTGTTATTTGCCCAGCTGCACATCTTTATTCATAACGTGCCCGTTGTTCTTAACATTTTGCATATTTCATTGTGAGAAGTGGGATGGGGAGGGGGAAGCAATCGCCATGTCTAGGGGAGCTGGGCTTTTATTTCAGTGGTGGCGGGCTGCAGCGGGAGCCTGTGACTGTCAGGATGTTCACATCTGTTCCTGATTTGTGGACAATGGAGCACCATCCACTCAGTGCACATAGACGATCTGTGACAACTTGACAGCCTGCCCAGGAATTCAGACCGAACACTCACTATCCAAAATGATCAACGTTGTCTGATCCAACAGTAAAAGCAGTGCGGGGGGGGGGGGGGGGAGGAAGAATAATTTCAAAGGGAGGGAAATAAAAGTTGCCTCTATTTTTGGCGTTTCTGATGAGTGGCACTGGAGCCTCCCTTCATCTGGTGAGACAGGGTGCAGCAGGAGCTGGTATGCTTCAAAGTGGGGCAGGATGCTGGTCTCAGATGTTCCCCTGCCCTCTGATCCTGGCTGGTTTCTAAACAGAGCAGCTGGAGCACTGTGGGCAGCTCTGCTGAGCCCGGCTCCCTGCCTGCATGCTCTCTGTGCCTGGGGAGGCAGCCAGGGGCTCTCTGGGCTTGGGGCTCTGCTTGGGCACCCTCAGGTCCTGCCATGGGAGCGGATGTGGGCAGGAGGGGCTTCTGCCTCTTCAGCTCATTCTGGAAGAAAATATCTGCTCCTGCTTTCAGCTGTCCTGCAGGATGAAGCTCTCCATCTATCCCAGATCCCGATCATACAGCAGTGTGGCATGCTCTGTCCATGCATCAAGGTAAGGGTGACAGGCTCTGGAGGTGGCTCTGTGGCTCCCCGACCCCTCCTTTGGTGTGGGATATCCGCACCATAGCTTGTCCCCTCCCCTCACTGACCACCCTGCTGCTGCCTCTTGGCAGGACCATGTCCACCTGGGGAAGGGGAATGCCTGGATGATAGTGTGGTGGAGAAGATGATCTCTTGCCTTCATGAAGGTGCTCTGAGGTTGCCCTCCTGCTCCACAGCATGTGTGCTGCTTCGCTTCACCTCCCTTCCTGCAGCAAATGGGTGTAAGTAGGTCTGAGCAAGCCTGACAAAATGCAAGGGACCTAAATTACATTACCTTGCACACCAGCTCTGAATCTGACCTTGGGGATTAATTAGATAAACAACCATCTTGTACAGTACCTTATATAAATGTACAAGCAAGGCACCATTAAGGATTACGTTGTCACTAACCTAAGCCCTTAGTGATTTAATTAGACAATTAGAGGCTGCTTGGGAATGCTCTTGTAGTAACCAGAGATATTAACACCATTTGTATTTATATTTAATAGCATTGCAGAAGGGATTTTAATTATTTTGAGTCTTCCTGGTCTTTAAACTTCCAAAGAGGAAATTCTCTTCTGATTTTAGCAGAGCCTCACAGGTGCTGTCGCAAGCATCACTTTGCCAGGTCCTAGGCCCAAACCCCCTTTCCATGGTAACTCCATGCTGATCCTTGGCAAGCAGTTTGTTTGCTGAGATGGCATGGAGCATGCTGATCCCTTGGGTAACTGCTGGAGGAGCAGGAACCAGACCTGGGTTTGCTGGCACCGTAGCAGCAGTAAGTAACGAAGCAGTAATGACTGTGCAGACAGAAAGGTTTGTGTGATGGTGGTTAGGATGGTAAAATCAATGGTCAGTTCAATAACTGTATGTGGGAGAGTGACTGGTGCGTTCTCTGTTCCTCGGCACTCTGTAAAAGAGCAGGATGTTTATTGGCATGGGAAGCAAGATGCTCCATAGAGCCTCCGATGGGTAAAACAAACCCCGGCCTCACGCGAGTCCTCTGCAGCATCCAAATCACCAGTGGCTCGGCAGCAGCTTAGTAATATCAAATAAAACCTGGCGACTAGGGAGAGCCTTCAGCTAGCATCAGCTGCAACCTAATTTAGGATATGAACTGGAATCCCTGCAGGAAGAAAGTCTTTGTCTCAGCACAGGGTAGCACTCAGCCCCTCCTTCATCAATACCAGCCAAGCGTCCTTTCTTCCTGCCTTCCTAAAGATGCCATTCTTGCAATATCACTGCCAATAATTGTATTTTCACTGTATTACAGCTCCAGTAATATAATTAAGCCTAAATAATATAGATGAAGTGGAGAATAATTTGATTTGCTAACTAATGTTTGAGTCAAGTAGATTATTTTTTTCCTGTTTTCATGAATCTACAGTTGACTAAACCCACAACCATTCCTCCACTCCCGTCCTTTAGTGAAACGTGGATACAGAAGAATGATTCATCAGAGGAGACGGATCCAGGCGTTGGGAAAATGAGAGGATGTTTGGTTTGGTTTGTGTGGAAGGGGTGGGATCCTCTTGGGAACTCTGTATGAAGCAGTGAATGGGATGTCCTTGGATAATCAAAGACTATGAGGAAAAGTGGGGTCAATGATCCATTCAACAAAAGCATAAGGCAAATGATACATTGAGCAGCTCCAGAAAGTGGTAATTTGACAACAGTCTGCTGCAGCGAGCCATCTGGCCTGAGGAGAAAGCGGGAGCACCAGTCTGTGTGGTGGGTACCTCGGGGACAGGAGCTGAGCTCCGGGGGCTTCCAGCATGCATGGCTTGGCCTCTACAGAACCTCGCTCTATGTACACACACATAGTGAGGCATTGGAATGAAAGGAGTGAGAGGCATTGCTGGCCTCTAAATGTAGGAAAAAATCTTCTGTGGAACCTGAAGAGTAGTTGTGTTCATGTGTGACTTGTTTTCCAGGAGCTGATTAACTGGATGTGGGCTTGGTGAGTTGATGTAGAGGAATACTGCACGCAGTTATTCAGGGTCAGGGCTTTGGCATGTTGTGTTACTCTTTTCCATTTGCGAGGGGCAAAAATATGAGAGTGGAGCTCAAAAAACCTGTGTAAATAAGAAATAAGAAAGGAAAAATAAAACTGCAGGGAACGGTTTCCTCCCATGTGCTTTGCTCTGCCTTTTTTAGGCAAATCTGCTGCTCACCCTCACAACCTCCAAGCTCTCCCTAAGCTCGAGCATCCCAGCAAGCCAGGAACCAGTTCATGCTCAGGCTACCACCTGGGGATGATCCGATTTCCACGGCATGGAGGATTCCTTTGTAAAATCAATCTGCAGCAGTGGCCAGGCTGTGCCAACTTGTAGCAGTGCTCTGGAGAGGGATACAGTGGAATATTTTGCAAATCCTTTTTATTCCTTGTTTACCAAAAGACGTTAAGGCTTGGTATTGAAGGAAACCAACAGTTTATGGTTTTGGGAGGATGCATGAAGTTCAGAGCCCTGCCTACTCTGAGCAATGACTTCCATTTATTTGGAAGGGCTAATACTGGTCAGGCCAGGTCCTCCTGCACAGATGAGCCTCCAGCAGCAGCAGCCAGAGGCAGGGAGGGAGCTAAAGCAGGAATCAGCAGTTAGGTGATGGTAGGGAATAGCCAGGATGCTTTATTCAAAATAGATGTGCTCTCCAGGCTACCAGACAAGGAAGGAAATTGGAAAAATTGTCTCTTTCATGTGGGTTTTGGTCCTTGTTGCAAGGAGTTAGGATAGGTTTAACTGTCCTGTTGGAAAAGGGCCACGGGAACAGCCTCTTGCAGGGTGCCTGAGCTTTCCTCACCAGCGGGCCTGGCTGGAGCTGGCCAGTGTGGGCAGGGAGGAAGGAGCTGGGAGACACAGGCATGATTTCCAGTGCTCCCAGTGCCCCTGCATGGGCTGGTGTGCAGCCAGGCAGGGCTCCCTCCACCAGACCTGCTATCCCATGTCCTGCTGCCTTCCAGACCTCAACTTTGCTTTGTGGTTGCAAAAGCAGCTGCAGCCCCTCTGCTTGAGAGAGCAGAGGCACTCCTGAAGCCTCTGATAGACCTGGCTGCTCTGGCTCAGTGTGCTGGCCCATGGCCCTTTGCCATGGTGGTGGTGTCTCCAAGCCCACCAGTGAGGAAAGCTCAGGCTCTGTCCAGGCACAGCTCAGGGGTGAGCGTGTTCCCAAAGGAGATGAATGCAGCCACCTTGCTCAGGAGGACAAGAAAGCTCAGCTCTGCATGGATGGGCTGAGGTGTAGAAGGGGCCTCAGGGCAAAGGAAGGGCTCTAGCCCACTTGGTTTGCTAATGTAGATGCATGTGAAAAGGTGGTGATGTCCAGATTAATATCTGCTTGGGAGTCAAATTGGAGCTGGGGGCTCTTCTGTCACTTATTCTAGGCTAAAAAATAATGTGTATTCCCCCTCATCCTACCATAACTGTGAAAAGCCCCTAGCAGCAAGGGAAGAGAATTAATTTCAAACTAAAGGTGGAATGGAGGTTTTACATGCTTGTTTCTGCCAGAGGTGGAGAGCTCTTGCACTGCTTTCAAGAGAGTCCTGGCCATTGCAATGAAGACAGGGAGTGTCCAGCACAGGTGATGGATAGTAAAGAGAACAAGGAGGAAGGAGGAAAGGCTTGCTTGGTGAAGTGAACAGTTCATTTGTTCAGCAGATGGTGCCAAGGCACAGAACTCTTGGTTTGCGCTTGGTGTCGGTGGCCAGTGCTGGGAACGCGAGCTACTGCTGAGCAAACCCCACTGCTGACCATGATGGAGCACTCCAAGTGATCTCACACATGTGCTCGGGGTGCATTGGGTAAGGGTGCTGGCAGCCAGAGTTCCCATTTGAGCAAACCCTGGTTCTGCTGAACACACTCCAGTGATTCTGTGTTTGAGGCTGTTACATGGGAGCTTGGAGAGGGCGATCTCATTACAAACATTGACCTAGATGGTTGCACTGGGACTGCAGCTCTGCAGCATGGAGGCAGAAACTGCCTGCTTTTATTACACATGCACCGATACCAATTCCCTCTCTTCCCCCTCCTGCTCTTCTTCCCAGCAGTTGTTCTTGGTGTTTTGTACCTGGCTGGTGGCCTGAGGCCTCAGCTCTCCACCACAGTTCTCACCTGCACAGCCCAGTGCCCCATGCAGCAGTGCCAGGCTTGGAAGGTATCCAAAGGAGCAGAGCCCTGCAGCTGGGGACCATGCACTTGGGGGGCAGCTCTGCCAGCTGGGGACACTGGGAAACCTCACCAGCTAAATATCACTGCTGTCCTGCATCCATCCTTGGGGTAAGCAGTGGGGGATGTCAAACAACGTGGTGCAGCGAGTCCATAGTTCAGCAATGCAATGGCCAAAGGAAACAGGGTCCTCTCCCATGTGCAGAAGGTGTGGGTCATGCAACAGCCAAACACCTGAATGATTCCCCAGCCCTGGTAGCTCTTGTGTGGTAGCTCCAAGGTGGGCTGGTGGGGGGAGTGTGGTGCTTTCTCCGTGCAGCACCCCAAACAAAGTGGCTGGAGGCACCAGCAAGATTTGTCTTCTCCTGAAGCATTGTCCCCCAGCCAGAAATGAACCATTCCCTCCATGGCAGCCTCTGTCCTTCCATCTTTCTCTTGGCAGCTAAGTTGTTAATAAGCTTCCTTTTGCTATGATTCCATCTAAATTACTATTTTAAAACAACTACAGATGTGCTAAATTGGCTCAGCATAATAGGATGAGATGGATAATAAAGGTTCCCCTAGTGGGCTGTCGCCAGCACAGGTAATTTATTACCTGGGTGGCTAATTATATGCTTCTCAGCTTTCTAGGGTGAAAACATCTTGATATTTCCTAGTTAAGGAGCCCTGACACAACTGAAATGACCAGACATGTGAATAGGAAACATGGTGATTAAGTACCTGAGAGATGAAGAATGCAAAGGAAAAGGCATTCTGCAGCCAGAAAAAATGAACTGCGTGATTTCCCCCAGCACCTTGAGGGAGCAGGGAAGGGCTAGACCTCTCCTAACTCCGGCCAATTCAGGCATTTTGTGCATGAAAACAGCAGCCAGCTGAATTCCAAGCTGGGAAAAAAACCAACCAACTCCTGTAAATGGGAGAGAAGAGATTGTTTCATGAGTTCTGCATATGCGCTCATGAGTTTTGGGCTCTGGGGCTGATGGGAAAGAGAAAGCCCTGTCATTCTCCCTACTGCTCAGTGCTGCCCATGCCCCATCTCACTGTGCAGCCCCCAGCCCTGTAGATGGGTGTTGCTCCACTCTGGTCCATATCAAAAAGTGTAGGTAAGAAACATATATCCATTATACTCTCATTCATTATTTACTTGATAAAACACGTTTGCTTAGTTAATGTGTTTGAGACAAGGTATCTTATAAAATACACAGTCTGAACACAGCAAAATGGGCCAGTTTTCACAGTACTTAAAATCTATGGCGTGAGGCAAATCCCATCAAGAAGACAGATGCCTCACTGAACTGCTAGTGTCAGCCTGCGGGCTCCAGCCACATCAGAGGAGCCAGGCAGTCCTGCGTTCCTTGTGGTGGATTTGCACCAGAAAGGCAATATAAAACCTTGTCAAAGAGTTTCGTTTTCCCTGGACAAGATGGGATGTTCGGCTCAGGCAGGGGCAGGGCATGCTTGGGCTGGTGGTGTGCTGCCTGCTGGGTGGCCCATCCCTTGCACTGGCTTTGAAGGGTGCCTGCGGTGCAGCTCGTGGTGGTGTGACCAGGTCCCATTGCTGGCAGGAGAGGGCTGAGGTCTGCCTGCCCTGGGCTTCGGGCTTCCTCTGAGGCCGTATAATGATCTCACCTGAAATAAAATGCAGGCTTGAAGACCTCTGGGTGCTATTTTAGCATCCAAATCTTCTCCGTCCAGCAACAAGGATGTACCTGCTTCTACTTGAGCCATTTCCCACCCTGTCTACCAGTGCCCTGCAAGACACTCCTGCTCACTAAAGGGAACTGCCATGGGTCAGCACAGCCCCCATGGCACAAGTACAGCATAGGAGAAATCGAGTCCAAATCCAAGCAGATACTTCTCTTTAAAGCCACGTGAGGTCCATGGACTTTATAACAGTGACAGGGACCAGGATGACACCTCCTGGGAAGGCTTGCCCCTGGCTCTCTGCAGTGGGGGAGCAGCAATAGCAGCTTTTGTTCTCATAGCACCCCCATTTCACGCACTGCAGCAGGGAAGGATGGGGCTGGGTGAAGCCTTGCTCTGGCCACGGGAGGGGATGCATCCCGCTGCAGCGGTGCCCGAGACATGGATCTTGGAATCATAGAATGGTTTGGGTTGGAAAGGACCTTTAAAAGACATCTAGTCTAACCCTTTTCAATGAGCAGGGACATTTGTACTACATCAGGCTGCTCAGAGCCCTGTCTAACCTATCCTTGAATGTTTCCAGGAATGGGATCCCACCTGCTATCGCTGTGTCCCTGGGCCTCTGACCAAGTTTTTCCCAGAAATCCTGTTTTTCCCTGACCCGTGGGGCTGTGGTAATTCCCAGCTTGCCCTGCCCCACAGCCCCTCCAGCAGTAATGAAGAGGTCTCTGGGCAGGCAGAGTCTTCATGGTAAGAGGAAGAACCAGAAAACAAGATGTTTGCAGTACAAAAAGGGCCTCATTCTCACGGATGAAAGGGAAAGCCGTGTATGCGTGTCTTAGGACTCTGCAGCATCTCCCAAAGCTCTGGTTTTATGCTTCTTTATCCTTCAACTTCTTCCTTAATGAGAAATTAATTAGCCTTGTCGTTCCTGCCTGGGAACTTGTAAACATGCAGCGGTGATGCCTGTTGCTCCCCCCACTGCCCGCCCTGTCCCATCCCACCCCCCTTCCCTGAGGTGTAGCCCAAGATATCTGACAAAAACACTCGAGAACAAAGCTGCCGCGCTAATTCAGGGAATTATCAGGAAGCCTGTAGCAGAGCTGAGATAATGGGCCTTAAATAGCAGCCTGATTGCGCTTCCTCCAGAGGCTTCACAGGGCTTTCCTCCCACCCTGCCGTGAGCAGAGAGGGGCTCCTGCCCACCGGGACCTCAAGCTGGCCGTGTTCCGATGGGGATGCTGGTCTGGGGGGACAGTGCTGCTGGCTCCCTGGCTTTGCGTTTGGGCAAAAAGAAATAAAGGCAAAACAATGGTCATTTGGGGACGCTGCTCATCGCAGTGTCCTTGCTGCAATGTCCTCCTGCCATCCGGGCATCACATTGCAACTGGGCCATCCTGCGCTTTAAGCAGTGCCTGATGGCTGGGCAAGCAAGCATTTTTGTGGCTGCTCCAGGGCTCTGCCTCACACTGTAAGGCTTCTGCAGCCTCCCTGGACCTCTGCGTCCCGAGATGGACCCCAGCAGCACTCACGGCCCATCCTGCTGCAGCAGAGACCTGCTAATGCCTGGGTGTCTCCATAAGCCAGAGCTGAGCATCTCCAGAAACCAGCCAGACCCTTGAAAACAGCCCCGATAAGGGCAAGACCTGTGAAAAGGATGTGCTTCAAGGGCAGCAAGAGAGACAGTGAAAGAGGTGAAAACACGGTGGAGAAGAGAGGGCTTGACACAGTGAATCTCATTGCCCTGTGACATGCACCAGACCTTGGGCTGTGGCACAGAGCAGGGAAAAACTGTGTTTGTGACAGGACCTGATTATTTTTTTTTTTTCCTCACTAAAACAGGGGTTTTCATAATGGAGAAGTTTAATTGGCAGGAAAATTGTGATCAGTTGTTGCAACCAAAGGGGGCAAATCAAAAGCCTGTGGACAAGGAGTGCCCTGAGGCCGCAGGGCAGCAAAGCACTGAGCCTGTGTTGTGTGTAAACCTGAGCATGGGTCGGTGATGAGGCATGTTCCCCTTCCCACTGTGCCAATGAGGATGCACCGGCACCATGAGCTGCCTGGTGCAGACACTGGCCCAAGGGAGGCTGCGGATTTGGTCCGTGCTAGCAAACCCAGCCTGCTCCACATGAAATCTTGATCATTCCCCACTTACGGCATGGCTGGTGCTGTGTCAAGGGACTGCTTTATAGCCTTAATGCTCAGAAGCTTTACTGCTGACACATATTTTCCCCAGCACAGTTAGTTAACAACACAGGAGTTTCCTACCCCTGAGGACAGGCAGTTTCAGCAGCAAAGAGGTATGGTGGCAAGGAAAATCTTCTCATGCAAATATCAACCCTTTATCCTCTGCTGCTTGGATGGTGGGACCAAAACAACTACTGTTTTTTCTCATTTCCTCACAGAGGAAATGTACTATTCCAAATATGACTTGTAGCTACTTCAGAAATGAGTCATCACTTCGTATATAAGCTAAACACTGGAACATAATCATAAATAAACTCGCTTCATAAACTGGAAATTAAGCTTATCCCATCCTTGTTTGTAAAGCACCATGATTCATATTGTTGCTTCCTAGTTTAGTTTTTATTTTAAACCAGGTTTTGAAGACTTGTAGGGCCCTTTGCACTGTTTATCCATGATGTATTTTTGATTTGTCCTGTGATATTGCTTGAGGAACATTGTTTGCCCATATGTTTTATATTAATAACAAATTCCACCCTGCGTGTGCCTTCTCCTTTTGCTCTGTCCTTGTGGGCCGGCGGCGGTGACAGGCATGAAGGCGCTGCGATGGAGGCTGCTGAGCATCTGCAGTTCACCAGGTCACCTCCAGCCCCAGCAAAGGCTGTAAAAGCTCTGCCCAGAGCAGGCGTGCAGGAGCCAGAGCGAGAATCCAGAGCGCACAGATCTGTGCTCACACGTCTGACGTGCTCTTCTTGCTGAAAGCTCTGGTCCCACCTATTTCTTCTCCCCAGCCCTGCTCTCCCCTGCTTCCCTGTATCAGCAGGAATGTTTGAGCAGACAAGCTGTGAGCTGGTTTCACACACTTCATCTCATCAAATCCTTTCTGTTTTTTTTTTTCCCCACCAGCATTATTTCCAGCTGGATAAGTTCTCCAGCCTATTCCTCACAAGCAATACTGGGACAAGCAGCTGAGACCGCAGTGCCACCACAGTGAAGCTGTCACTTGAAGGAGATGGTAAGGAACTGCCCCCAACTCTGCTGCCCAAGGCCCCATAGCCACCTGCCCCAGGCTTCCCTCCTGCCTTGCTCTGGGCATCACCTCTCTAGAGGGAGAGTGAGAAAGTGCCTTGTGCCTCAGGCTCCCCTACCCTCTTCCTCAGCACCAAGGGAGCTAGATACTGGATTAGACCAAGAATTGCATGTCTGCCCTATTCATGCCTGATCTGTTCAGAGAGCCAGGGGCTGGATGGATTTGGCATTTCAAGTGGGAACTGACTGATAGGCCAAAAAGCATCATGTTTAGCACAGAGCCTACTGTGCACACAGCTGTCCCCCATCTGAGCCCCGAGGCAGTGATGACGCTGCAGGGTGAGCCCCAGCACAGCTCCCAGGACTCGTGCTCCAGAGGAGCCCGGCACTGACCGCATCACTGCTGCATTGCTACTGCCGCAGGAATCAGGATATTTTGGCTCCTAATCCTCCCCCAGCCACCCCCGGCTCCTGGGTGTCTGGCCTTGGCTCCGGAGCTCTTGGTTAACAGCAGCTCTGGAAGGCTCGCTGGGTGAGGAGGTCAGCACAGGCATCTGGGGTCACTTTAGGGTTACCCTGCTCTTCATTTAAGCAAGAAAAAATAAGTCTGCCCCTCTCTTCCCCTGGGGTCCGAGGAGGCAGGGTTAGGGAAGAGGGGGCTGAGCAGACCTGCGAATGGCCGGTGACGTTTTCCAGGGTGGGATGTCCCGCTCTGCTGCAGGATACACAGGTTTGGGCAGAGGCCGTGTGCCATGGGAAGGGCAAGGCTGCTTTCCCACAGCCAGCAGCGTGAGGAGATTCAGTGCATCCCAGGCATGAGCTGGGGCTGCAGATGGGGGTGCCCCTTCCACACTGGAGCCAGGACGGTGGTTACCTTCTTTCGACACAACACATCTACCTTTGTTCTTGTCCTTTATTTGCAGATGCCTCGTTTTAGCAGTGGCAAAGGACAGTTTAGCCTGGGAGGCAGAAGGTACCACAATTCAGCAGCCCCTTAAATCAGCGTATTAGCTCCTACTTGTGCTCTTTCCCATGCCATACTCTAAACCATGAAGCACTGGATTCATCTATTCCTTAAAGCTGAGACCAGATCTTTCCTGTGTTTTCCACTGTGGCAAGAAACCTCAGAGACCTTGGTGCATGACGGTCCAAATCTCATTCTTAAGTTAAATACCTGCAATTGCCTGATTTGGCAGAGTTCAGCTGCTAGACCTGCTCCCTGCAAACCCAGGCTGGAGCATGTAAAACAGGAACGTTAACTATTTTTCCAGCTGTCTGTGGCTCACGCACTGTAAAACACACACTAACGTTACACCTCCACACCCTGCCAAGGAGATGCCAGTGACACTGGGATTGGTTGGGCTTCTTTTTTAAGAGAGCAGGAGCTTGTACCTGTGGCTGTTGGCAGGGACCGAGCTCCACCAGTGTCCCCAGGTTGCGTGGCTGTCACTTTGTCCCAAAGATAGGACCAGGCAAGTGAAACTTTTCCCACCAGCAGCCCCATCTGGCATCTCCCTGGGGCCATGAATCTTCAGATGGGGAAGGGAAACATCCTCAGATCTTGGACTCAGAGCCCAGTTTCCCATCTGCCAGAGCCTGCTGTCCTGGGAGCAGCACTGCAGATGTCCAAGGACCCCAGCAGCAGTCAATGCCAGCCAGGCACTGAACCCTGCTTTCAGGTGGGAAGGCACATTAGCTGCCTGGCCAGTCTGAAATCAATTTATGTCTGTCTTTGAACCCGATTCCTCTCTAAGCCTGTTTTGGCTCTATTTGTTTGGAATAGACTTGATCCTAAAGGGAAAAGCAGACAAACCAGACTAAACATCAAATATTAAATAGCAACTGCTAATATGACAGCCATTAAACACAAGCGCTCTCCTGCCTCTGTAGCAGCTGGAAGCTGGGCTGCACACCCACCTCTGGATCCTGGTGCTACCAAAATCGAAGTCAGGCTGCATGTGTATATATCAAATTGCTGGAACGAAGAAGAAATTCACTTCCCTGCTGCCAATCTTCCTGGCATTCAATCTTCTGTGTCTGCTTTCAGCTGAGGTAGGAGGAGATGATGTACTTTCCCCTTCTGATATGTGGGGAAAGGGAAGCATGTGGCTGCCCAGCTCCCTGCCTCTGTGAAGGTGCTCAGCAGTGATTGGCAGGGAGGCTTCTACTCCCTCTCCTGCTGGAAAATTAAAGAAATCTTATTTTGTCTTGGGATGAATCCAAGAGGGTTTGAAGTCCGAGGAGGGATCTGCTGGTCAGGCAAAGCCTTCTCTCCTTCTTTCTCTCCCAGAATTTCAAAGCCATGGCACTGGGATAAATCCAAGGAGAGGGCTCCTGCACTGCCAAAGTGAAGGGAAGCGGACACAGAGTGCCCTGGCTTAGGGCACCAGTTTGTCCTGCTGTGCCCAGCATCACAGGGACCAGGGCAGAAATACCCCAAAGCAGTGTGAAAGAGCTGTACCCCTGTTTGCCTGCACACTGGTGCTGACCTTCACCTCTCATCTCAGCCATCCCTTGCGCTTCTTTACAGGTGAAGTTTCACTGAAGAAACTGGGCAAACATCCATGTCCAAGGATTGGCTTGTGCTGGGACAGCAAAGGAATGAGAGACATCCCAACCGCACCCCTGAGCAAGATCCCCATCACGTTGTCAGCGGGCACTCGCAGTTGTGGCACAGCGTGGCCCTGGGTCCTTCTCGTTATCTGCCGTGCTCCTCCTCTTTCCTTGAGCCACTTCTTTATCACATTTTGAGCATACCTTCCACTTGACTTAACACTAACATATGTACAGTCGACATTTCAGTAATGCCTTACAAATTAGCTAGGGCTGGTTCAGAGATTATCAGGCCGGTTCCAGGCTCTTCCCCTTGTCCCTGGCCCCTACCTCTCCACACTGGGTGTGCTGAAGCGGGGGCTCGTCCCGGGAAGGGAGCTGGGGCCCCCTCCTGGTGCACTGGCCAGCTCCTGGGAAGCATCCTTTCCTCCTTTTTCTTCCCTCTGTCTCTAGCTGAAGGACTCTTTTTGGGTGTCAGTGTGAGGCAATGCCTCTGCTCACTCTACACAGCAGCCCAATGGGGCTCCATGGGGGAACCAGCACCCCAGGGCCACTGCAGAGGTGAGGGGGGTTTCCCATGTCCTTTATCCCAACATATGAAGCAGCCCAACTCTAGAAAGCAGCACTTACTGGCAGGAGAAGAAGGCAGCACTCAATGAGGGGTGACTTGTGCTGGGCAGGAGGAGAAGAAAACCCGATACGTGACAGACTCTGCCACAGCCCGGGCTCCAGCAGCGTGCCTGCAGCTTACAGAGACAGGAGGCAGATGGACGATGTACTTGTCCAAGTGCTTTCCTGAGAAAACCTTTAGCAGTTCTCATGCTGGGTTGCTGGTTCTACTTCCGCTGTCCCAGCAGTGCAGCCTTCTGGTCAGAGAGGTTTAAAGTCCTCCTGCAGGCGTTCCCATCATCCAGCAGTTTCCCCAGACACATGTTATTACGGATTGCTTTGTTCTGAGCTTTTACATTTCCTGCAGCCCTCTTGAGCTCCTGCGCTCAGCTCTAAGTTCACTCACTCTACTCGCAGTGCCAGAGCCTTGTTTCTGTGTCAGCCCTGGGAAGTGCTCTGCAGGCATGTTTCTATGCAAGAGGCTGTGGAAAAAATGAGGATATGTTTTATGATGTTCCAGCACAGAGGGGCCCTGCACAGATCATCCAGTTATTATGTCTGGAAGGAACCTTTACCAGCTCACCTGCTCCATTTTATCCTTCGCATCAGGCCGGTAAACCACCCTTGTCAGATATGTACTTAGCCTTATCCTTGAATATCTCTGGGGGAAGCAATTCAAGAATCTCCCAGAGAAGCTTGTTCCACTGTCTGAACTCTAGTTAAAGTTATAAAGGTTTCCCTAATGTTTGACTTTAATTTTCTCTACTGCAACATAACACCATTATTACTAGTTTGAGCTCCTTGATGGCTCTTTTTCCCCTAAGCCCCCATTTAGAAGAGACAGGGATGGAGCTAGATGAACTGACTTACAGCTAGGTTACAACACAGTTTCAGCCAATTCCATTTAATACCAGTTAAGGTAGGCAGAGTTTATGGGATCACATCAGGCTTTAAACAGTCTTAGGCAATGCTCAAATGTCCTCTGTGAAACCAGCTGGCTTGTGGAGCCAGTGCTGTGGCTGCCTCTCCACCTGCATCTGGGGGGGCAAGGAAGAACATGACCCACTGTGGGGGGGGAGCATGCCTGGGGTCCCTCCCTCCTTTCTCCCTGCACCATTCACAGCACCCCTACCTGCAGGCATCCACCTTCAGGCACCCAGAGACTGGAGTGGATGGGATGTATAAGGCACAAGTGTCCTCACCCTGAGCGGGGAGCAGGGAACTTGCTAGATCCCAGCTCACCCCCTCAACCCCATCTCTTCCCCCTCTCCTCAGGGCTGCAGAGGAGCAGCGGAGGCAGTGGGGCGGGTGGCAGGGCTGCGGCTCCCCTGGGAAAGCATTGCATGTGTGAGACGAGCTGTGAGAGTGTCTGGGCAACAAGCATCAGTGCACAAACCAGAGAGAGGAGACTGGAATGTAAAAAGGAAACGAGTACATGGAAATTCAGAACTCTCCCCAGACGAAAAACAGAGGGAGAGGGTTTTTTTGGCAACTGAAGTTGCAAAAAATGTTTCTGATTTTCTTCCTCGTTTCAAACTTTGCAAACTGCACCTAGCTCTAGTCACACAGCTGCATCCTACATCCTCTACTGAACCCAGAATGGGTCAGCCTGGAAGAAGCCACCACCCTCCCATCATCATTGGCAGGACCAGTGGGATCTGCCCCTCTGGCCAAGACGTTCCCCTGGGGTCCATATGTCCTGCTGAAGGAAAAGCCTCACATCCCTTGGGGATCAGATGGGCTGCTCATGGGTGTCCCCCTCATCTCCCCAGCTGCCTTTTCTTATTGCTCCCCTGCCATCATGCTGGTAATTTCTGTACCCTCCTTTTACTTTCAGGGTTGTGAAAAAGGGGAGACTGAGATGAGCTCTTAGGCAGAAGCTCTTCCCTGTGAGGGTGCTGAGGCGCTGGCACAGGGTGCCCAGAGAAGCTGTGGCTGCCCCATCCCTGGCAGTGTCCAAGGCCAGGTTGGACACAGGGGCTTGGAGCAAGCTGCTCTAGTGGAAGGTGTTCCTGCCTGTGGCAGGGGGGTGGAAATGGGTGAGCTTTAAGGTCTCTTCCAACCCAACATTCTGTGATATGATTCTATGACTGTGGTTTCTCTCCACCTCCTTCAGCAGAAGCGGGTGGGTGACTTCTCCCTTCCCCAGCTCCCCAGTCCAGAATGTCACAGCTTCACCCTGTCTGCTGAGCCATGAGTGTGCCCTGCCACAGGGCCACCAGGAGCTGGGGGAGCTGCAAGACCTCACTGGGTCTCTGTGGCTGGCTGAGATAACTCCAAGCCTGCAGGTCAGAGCAGCAGGTATCTCTTTTGATTTCTGATGCAAGCTGAGAGATAATAGCCATGGGCAGCATCACCAGGAGCAGCAGTCGGTCCTTGCTGGGGCGGGCGGATGGGATCTTCTGCCAGGCTGTGCATGGGAGGTAAGACACAGCTTGTTTCTCCCATTCAGCAAGTCTATGCTTTGGGGTTTTCCTCACCCGTGAATTGTCTGCAGAGTGTGATTTTAATTAATTATTCAACGATATTTTTCTCCTTACTGAGTGATTGTAACAAGTAACTTCTACCCATTCAGGGCCCATTTGTAAGCAATTTACCTCAAGAATTTGGCAGCCGAAGTTCAAGCAGCTTTCCTGGGCGAGTAAATGACACTGTGTGTTTCTGTGTCACATCCGGATGAGCGCGACTTGTTGAGTGAGGTTAGTAGCGCATATATTTGTGCTTACCGACTCGAAATGTGCTTCCTATGGATATTCCGTAATATTTACTTAAATCTAGCTGTTTCTGTTAAGGCTCCTGGCAGCAAGAACAATTAGCGAATTTTCATAGCTAACAAAGGCAAAACAGGACACTGGGCAGGGTCTGAACTGATTGAGGACTTGAGTGCATGCAGTATTTGTTTTGTGGTATTTAGCTGATTCAGTTTACAATGTGGGACATTTTATTTATTTATTTTTAAAGCATGTCTTGTGTGCGTCCCCCCCCCCCCCCCTTGTAAATCCTGTGGTTCTATCCAGGATTCAAGTTACAAACTTTTGCTGTTTTGCTTCAGCCATGATTTTTTCATAAAAGCGTGGTTAGGCTATTTTTACTTTAGAAAATGAATTGGTTTTCTCCTTTTTTTTTTTTTTTTTTGCTGATAAATTGCAAATGGACGAAGGGAATTTGCTCAGACTTTTCCCACAGACATTCTCCTTTGGGCAGAGATTAAACATGGGGGGTTTCAGTCTAAAATGCAAATGCTTTGGACATTTATGAGAGTGGGAAAACAGGGGCCCATTATGAGAACTGCTTTGTGACTTGATTGGGGTGCTACTGGGAGCCAGCACTGCCCTGGGAGGCTCAGAGCGGCGTGCCTGGCCTCAGCAGCCAGACTTCACCCTTCTCCTATGATCAGGCTTGTGGGAGAGATGGGGAGCACCATGTCCTGGAGGTGGAGACCTGGTTTGCACAGCAAGATCTGCTCCTGTGGGTTGTTTAACATTTGCTGGCTGCAAATCCCAGCTGATGGTGGAGTTGTGGGACGCTGGAAGCCTCTCCAGCCCCATGGGGGAAGCGGAGTGAGTGTCTGGGGGGACGCTGGTCACTGGTCAGCAGGATGGATACAGCTGCAATTTGGGCATCATATATGGGTTGCTTTAGGAAGATGGACACAGTTCACAGCTCCTTGCTTGCGTGGTGCTTAAGTGAGAAGGTAATGTGACTCTTAAAGCTCCCAGTTTGGGTGAAGGTGAAATATGACATCTTGGTTTTCTCCCATGATACTCCCCCTTGTTCCTGTGTCTGGACCTGGGGAGCAGCTGCTTCTGCTGCTTGGGAGCCCTTGCTGCCTGCAGGGGCCACATGGGAGAGCATAGGGTGGCTGCAAGTGCCTTTGGGAGCCCTGGGAGGCCGCTGATGGGTTTAGGAAGGAGTAGGAGGGGGCTTGTGATGAGAGCTCCTCCGGGGAAATCCCCGCAGCGTCTGACAGCAGATTGGCACTGTGAAAAATTTACATCTCCTGCTGAGAACTCAATTTCCATAGGAGATAATCAGATGTGACCCGTGTAACACAGTGATGTTTTTACAGGATGTTTTTGCTTCCTTTTTTTTTCTGTTTGCTCCTCTCTCTCTCAATTTCCATTTGGCGTCTTCAGCAGTTCCCGATGGTTGTATTTTGACAAGGATTCTCAAACCACTTGTAAACACTTCAGAGTGAGGACAAGGTGGGAACCACAGCGTCTACCTCCAGTTATTAACATGACTTCAGGATGAAGTAGGTTGACCCCAGAGCCTGGCTGCCTGGTCCTGTGGGGCTGGATCCATTTACTGCCATCCTGGAGGTTATCAGAGGGAGGTGTGTGGGAGAGGGAAGAAGGGGAAAGCAGGAGGAAGGATGTAACAGGGCAGAAATGGTGCAGGCATAGGGGGAAAAGTGTGGGAGTGAAGATTATTGGAAGGCAACACCAGCAAAGCTGTGAGGGCAATCCTCTTCTTCCACCCACAGACTCTCTTAAGCCCTCGCCTGTCAGTCAGCCCCTTATTTACATGAATACTAAATCCACTTGCAGCTTCTTTAAATAAAACAAGAACACGCACCTTCCTGTAGTGAAACATATTATAGCAGTTTGTCACAGCATCATCCAGTAGGTATTAATTCCCAAATCATTCTATGACATGTTTTATCATAAGTTATTAAAGAAGGTAGCTGCATTGGGCAATCATTTGATAAACTGAGCCATAATTTAACATGCTCTTCCGTCATATTAGTGAGGAACAAGATTTATTTTCCCAGTGCAACTTTAATTATGGATAGCACATGCAGGCGATTGAGCTGACTGAATCTTTAAGGTTAATGATGTCTCCTGCAGAGCACCTTGGGGTAAGGCACAGGATCTTCCCCACGCTCCTGACTCACCTGTGGTTGGCATATCTGGCTCCAGGTAACAATATGACCTTGAATTTTGAGCCTTAAAAAGGTGGTTGTGTTTTTCTAGTGAGATTTAGGGCATTCAGAATGCACTGCCAAGGTTGGCCAGGTGCCTGGCTGCGGTCCCCTCGGGGAAGCAGAGTGCTTCTGCCTCCCCTGACGCCTCACAAGCAGCAGGAGGGACTTTCCCGACTGAGCAAGAGTGTGTCTCTAAATCCATGCTTATCTGAATAGCCAGAAGTTGCCTCACAATGATTCCCATGGATTCTGGTCACTTTGTGGCCCATCGGGCTGAGCAAACTGTGAAAATCTGTGCTCTGCACAGGCCACAGAAGTGTGTTTTCTGACAAGGACTGCTCATCACACACCGCTGTCTGCTACAGGTAGCGGCAGCAACCCGGCTCCAGACCTGCTTCTCCTGAGACTGGACTCCTTCCCTGAGCCTTGGCTCTTAGCAGTTACTTTTAGCACTTCCACTGCAGCTGCAAATTCTCCAAGACCACTGTGAAGCAGAGGGCCCACCACTGCTTTCTCGAGACCCTGCTCTTCAGGCTCGGGTGGCTGTTAGACGACTTTGGAATCACAAGGATATAGGCAAAGGAGTGTGGGTATCTGCTTCTGCAGCCTGTGCTCCTTTGGGCAGAGCCGGCTGTGAACCCAGCCTGTTGGGGTGCTAAAACAGAGCTCAGGGAGCTAGAAAAGCACCAAGGGAATGACCCAGAGGCTTCCAAAGAAGCTGAGCATCTCCTCCTATCTGGGGGAGTAAATGACCCTCCTGGCGAATATCACTATTAGGCTGAAATCCTCAGGTTCCCTTGTTTGCTGCTGCTTTCTTGCTCTTTTTCACAGCTTTATTTTTGGCTCTGGAAATTGTCTTTTAATTTCTGTGCCTTTGTTTTCATGTCTCTTGGCCCCAGCCTTTTGATTGCTCTCCCAGCTCTGGACATGGAGGATGCAGGGAGATGAGCACAGAGGGTTCCCTGGCTGCTGTGGTGCTGGTGTGGGGCCATGCGTTTCCCTGCCACCTCAGCAGGGAAAGATCCAGGTGCAAAATGCTGTCCCTGAGGAAGGGCTAGTGTTTGGGGGTGCTGGAGAAGCAGTACAGCAAGAGGTCAGGTTGCTCATAAGGATCATTGCAAGTGGCAGAGAGAAACCAGCCCAAAGCATCCTGCTGCTTCCTCCCTGCTGCCACTATGCTCATAATCAGAAATACGGAAAAAAAATACTAATCCCTTATTAAACTAAATTACTAAGCAGTTTGGGACAGGGAGGGAATGTAGGAGGGAAGAGATGCTTAAACACATCAGGCTGATGTAATTTCTTTTAGTCAGGAGCAGGAGAAACACAATCCAGTTCTCTTCCCCCCAGCAGAACAAAGGGGAAAGTCCCCACGGGGAGATTAGGAAAAGTGAAACAAAATAAAACCCAACCAAAAAACAACCACAAATGAGACAGGAGAGTAACAAAAAAATAAAGAAGGAAGAGAAGAAAAAAGGAAAGACAAAACCATCATCCCCCTCAAGTGTCCCCTCTGTTGTGTGTAACAGCTTCTCGCTTCCCCCACTTCCCCAGCACCAGTCAGGCTTACAGAGCCATAAAATAAGAGTTTGTGGTGTGTTCAATCGATTATTTCTCCTAATGCACTGTTTTTGGAGACAGGTAATTTATTTCAGACTCTACATGTCTACATGCAAAAAAACACACAAAAAAAAATCGCTTCTTTCTCTTTCTTCACTTTTTGGTTTACAGCCCTTTCTTTTTTGCCCCTTTGCTCCCTCCTCCCCCTCGCTTCCCCCTCTCAAGTCCCCCCAGACACAAGAGTTTCCCAGTGAAAGGTGCAGCCATTCCCACAGTGAAACCCAAGGCAGGTAATGACTTTCTCACCCCATCCATACTGCTCCAGAAACTGCTGCCTCACCAGCTGCATCCCTTTATTTTGGAGAAACAAGGGGGAGGGGGGAAGTGCCAGCCCCCTCTGATTCCCTCTCCTCCAAGGCCTCCCCATAAAAAAGGAGAAAGATATAAAGGGAGCAAGTGTTTGCAGAGATAGAGTTTCCATTAGACAGCGGGGCTGGGGAAGGAGCAGGCTCCCGAGCCTGCACTGTACTCACCAGGCTCGGCACACGGGGTCCATGGGCAGGCAGGAAGCTTTGTCTGATGCTCCCAGTTCTGGGGAAAGTCAGAGCGGGATTGGGTTCCCACATGTCCCTAGGAAGCCCTGGCTGCCAACCCCAGGCCCTGGGAACAGAGGTCCCAAATTGCTGTGCTGGGTGCAGCTCAGCCCCAGGCCCGCACGCTGCTGCACAGCCGTGGTCCAGCCATGATGGCAGGGTTTGTTGTGGCTGCTACCCCCAGCCCTCGGGCAGCAACACCTTCCAAGTAGTGTTTGGAGCAGGGAGAACCAGGTTTACAGCTCGGCAGCTGAAATGAAACAGCCAGCAGTGAGGTTTGCAGGGGATCTGCTCAGGGCTGCCTGGCCCTGTCTAAGGAGGACCGGCGTTTATGGCAGCCCAGTGCACACCATGACGGGGCTCCTCTCCATCCCTCACCAAGCCTTTGAGCTGTCGGGCCTCTGCTCTGGGACAGTGCTGTCCACTGGTCCCAAGGACAGGCTGGAGCCAGAAGCTGCAGCGAGCGGTGGTGGTGGTGAAGGGACACACCAGTTCTTGTCCCCAGACCTCATCACTCCCATGATAACTGATCTCTGCAGAGCCTCGGTGGTACAAGTACAGATGAGCAGATTTGCAGGGCTTTAGGACACAATATACAGGATTACTCCAGAAGGGTATACACCCTAATGTGCTCTGTCCTCCCAGGAAAAGAGGAGATTACCCATCACTGACAGCTTTGCTGTAAAGCCCAGGCAGGGCTCCTGGACTGGAAGGTTTTGTTATTTCTTTTCTTATAATTTGCCTCTCCAAACCTGGGTGGAATTTTGAGCAGAAAGCTGACACCCCAGGCAGTGCAGTGCTGTTGGATGCTCCACGGCACATAGAATCATAGAATAGTTAGGCTTGGAAAGAACCTTAAGATCATCAATTTCCAACCCCCTTGCCATGGGCACGGACACCTCACACTAAACCATGTCACCCAAAACATGCAGCCAGCCCCTGCACAGCCAGTGCTTCTGCCCTGACATGGGGCAGTCTGGGGGGTCAGACACCCTCCTGGGCTCCCTTCTGCACCCAGGAACATGAAAAGGGCTGCTCTGCACAGGGAGCAGAGTGTTTGCTCTAACAGGAGCTTACCAAACCCAAGCTTTAGTAAGGCCATTGGTGGGGCTGGCAGCTATTTGTTTCCAATCGGGGGAGTGGGAGAGTATTTCATCTCATAATAAAAAAAAAGCATTCTGAGGGGAAATAATAAATATCAGGGATCAGGGAAGGAAGAGGGAGGGGGACATTACTGAAAGACATAAACTCTGCCACCCAGCCAGCCCAGTACTGTGGGGGCTCATCACTGAAATCCTTAGAGGATCACCCCTGTCCAAGATGGAGATGAAGCCTGCTTGGCTTTGGGGTGCTGTCAAGGCCCCATCTGCCCCAGGGAGACCTCCTGGTCTGAGATGTGGGGCAGGCAGAGACCATTCCCCTTGTCTTCAGCTACAGGGTTTGCTCCTCCAGCACTTGGACCTTCTCTGTCTTCCTTTGCCCCACTCCTGCACACGAAGACAATGTGCTGGGACATGCACACTCTTCCCCCAGCTCTGCAGGCTGGGGACCTGTGACCTGGTTTCCCCTCTGTGTTTTGGAGGCTGAAAGGAATGGTGAAGACTCTTCCATTAAAAGAGCAGGTGCACATGTTCTCATCCCTTGGCCCATAGCTCCTGGGCCGTGAACCCAAGCACGAGTGTGCTTGCTAACTGAGCAATTCGGGGACAGAAGGAATATTTTGATCATGAAGCCTTAAATATGTTTTCTGATGCTCTGGAATGAGGTCAAAGCCCATCTGCGCTCCCTCCTCACTCTGGCTACTCCCACTGCCTGCCTGTCCTCCTCCAAAGCACTCCACCAGGATCAAAGCCTGACGGAACCTTTTCCATATGCCCTACCCCTCTCCAATGGGCCCCTAGGCCAGGTGGCTTTTCCCAGCCTTCACACACTATCTGCAGACCTCCCACTTCTAAAAGAAATGCAATAAAGCTGGGCCAGAGAAGCTATTAGAAAGCAGCTCCCTTGTCCCATCTCCTCATGGGCTATCCCAGAAAAGAAATGAAACCCAGTGAATGTGGCACAGGGCTTGAAATTCGGGTGACCATCACCCAGCTGGGCCATGCCAACCCTCTGCCAGCGTGTCACACCACAGGCACATCCTTGTCACCATGGGTGATAGCAGTTGTAGAGCGTTTTTGGCCATAAAAGGTTTTTTGGCAGAGCTTGGGCACATCCCCTTTTGGACATGTCCCCCTCAAGAGCCACCCAATGTCACCAAAATCCTTCCCATCTCCACGCTCTCGTAGCAGTGTTATCCCCAGCATATTGGCCAGGGTTTGACCTGTGCCAGCAGCCACCTGGCATTTCGTCAGGAGCTTAACAATTCTCTGGGTTTCAGGCGGGTAAAAAACCTCCGAGCAGTGCTAGTTCAGTGTTAAGCTGCTGAAGTTTTGGGAAATATATGAGCGTGCATCAGGCGCTTGCATGACAAACCATCTCGTTGGGAATTTGGAGGAGAACAACAAAAATGATTAAGCGGCTGGAGGGATTGACTTATGAAGAGAGATTAAAAGAGCTAAATCTGCCTAGCTGGGCTCGCCGACGTCCACGGCAAGATATGATAACCATCTACAAGTATATGAAGAGCATAAATCACAGCTCGAGGGATTTGTAGAGGGCAACCCTGGGAGATTAACTGGGAGAAACAGACAGAAGTAGAGCACAGGAAAAAAAGTAGCACCTAGACAAGATCTGGTGAGGACTCCTGAGCTAGAGAAGGAGGCTGGGAAAGGTGCGAGCTCCTGGCTGAAGCCTCATGGCCTCTGGAGCAGCACCCAGGGAGAGCTCCTGCAGCCACGGAGGAGGCAGCACTCACTGGGATTGGTGTACTTGGGTCCCCTGCAGCTTCTGAAAAAGGCCTGCAAAGCTGAGCTGGGGACTTGGCAATGAAGGGCATCCATGCCTATGCCAGTAAAATATGGCCCCAAGTAGGAGAGCTCTGTGGTTTTTGGGCAGCTGCAGTGGAAGGGAGAGGTGGCATGGGCTTGGTGAAGACACCCTGTTTGCTGTCATCCACAGCAAAGCCAAAGAAAACATGAACTGTGGAAATGAAGGTTTTTACACAGGTGTGAAGTACATTTCATAGTGCCAGTGTACTTGTGCCAAGTACAAGATGTGAGGTACCATGGAAGCTAAGTTAAAAGGTTTGTTGGAATTTTCTGTGCTGCAGGTTATGCTGGATCCAGGTTCATCCCACTCGTCCCACTCACATGCAAACCTGGAAGCCTGGGTGAGCGCAGGGCACCAAGTGAAAGCAAGTGAGGGTCAGCGCCTCAGGGTGCACAGGAACAAGACAAGGAGCATTCCATCTCTGGCTGAGGAATCCCCATTTAACTTGAAGTTGTATGACAAGCCCTGGCAGGGCTGGAAGGAGCGGTGGGTAAATCTGGGATGGTTTTGCCAGGCTCAGTGGCAACCTGACTTTGAACAGTCTCAAGTCTCTGCTGCTCAGGAGCCATCTGACCTGCTGATGGGCTTCCTGATGGACTCTGCAAGATAACTCATGTGCTTCTGAAACAACTGCATTCACTGTGCCTGAGGCAGATTCCAACATAGTTACACAAGGATGCTGAGGAAGGAGCTGGCACCCTCTGATGCAGCCCCGAAGGAAAAAAGTGGGTATTTCTGGCAGCTTCTAAGGATGCCTGGCTCCCACACACCACTATTTTTGATTAGGTTTTAAAAATATTTAATCTGCACAATTTTACATTGGGATTCATCTTTATTCCTTCAGTAATCCCTCCTGCCTGGTGCGTGAGAGCTGCAGCTTCCCCATCCCTGAAGACGCCTGTTCCTGTCCTGCCCACATTCCTGCACCACAGACATCCAGTAGATCCACATATGATCCACGGAGGAGGAGATGTGGGTCTGGTTTCTGCCCACAGAGACGTGCAGGTCGCACTCAGCATTTGCCATCGGCAAGCCAAGGTGCTGGTCCTGTGGTGAGCTGAAGGGAGTGGAAACTCCCTTCCATCGGCAGCGAAATCTGGATCAGTGTTGAGCTCAGAGAATAAATCACACATAATTCACTCAAGACTTTTCTACCCCAGCACTTCGTAATTCTTCACGTGAAACAGTGTTTGCATTTACTAAAACCAGGATTGTTCTGCAGGTTCCCTGCCACTGCACCCCTGGGTGGTTTTCCATTTGCTGACCGGACAAGCCAATAAATGTCCATGTGTGCCTCCAAAACCTGGTTCCTGCAAGAGCTGGTGCAGGGATGGACTGGCCTTTGTTTAACTGGTTTATTTTCTCTAAAATTGTTTATTTTCTCTAACATCTGCACATAACAAAAACAGAAAGAGACAAAGGAAGGCTGCCTAGTGATGCTCAGGAAAATGAATCTCCTATTCCCTGCCCAGAGAATGGAGCTGGTTTTCGGCCCAGGCTGCAGCATCTCCTCCCTAGTGACCCCTCTGGTGGCTCTGCCTGGCAGGTTGTTCCCCTCTCGCCACCCTGCAAAGTCCCTGTTCTCAGCCACCAGCCCAGCTCCGTGGCTGCCAGCCAGGCCAGCTCAGTCCTTTCAATGGCGATTTCCCATGAGGAGCTCCCAGGTCTCTCATTTCTCTTCTCACCAGCCCAGTCTTTGGCTTACACTTGCAAATGACAAATTATGCTTTTGCCTCTAATTCCAGCTTCCCTGGCATCCTCAATTGAAGCAGCCCTCTGCAGAAAGCAGCAGGTTCTTTGCAGCCAGCGTGTGGTAGGCTTTTCCTCTTCTCTCTGCTCCCTCCCCCCTGCCTTAATTGCAGCCCAACATGGGCTTTCGAGGTGTATTAAACATACAAATTATTCTGCAAAGCCTCATGAAGTGCTAGTTACCAAGGCCTCTAATGGGAAATGACAGTGCAACCAGAGAGGCTGTTAACGTCAAAGCATTGTCTGAAATCGCTCTGGCAACACGATCATTTTGCAGGCGTGGTGCAAGGGACTGGACACCTCCACAGCCACGGTGTCACCAGGCCAAGTCCCCACCACTGGACAGGGGCTGCACAGGCACTGCTGGACCACAGCATCCTGCTGGGACCTGCTGAGGATGAGAGGCTCTTGGCCAAAGGCTCCCCCAGCTGCACCTGCGATATTGCACTGAGCCCTGGAACAATCCTGATGGATTGGAGAGAGTTCAGAGGAGAACCAGGAACACAAGGAGCTGGAGGGCATGATTTATATGGCAAGTTTAAAAGGGCTGCATAATAGCAACAATAATAAGCGCTTGAAGCACATAGTGTTTTTCATCTTTGCACTCAAACAAAGCTAACACTACACTCAACTGCATTAACAACTTAACTGCATCTCGTGCAGGCAGCCAATAGCGGGAGTGACACAAGAACGATCTGCAGGTCTCCTTAGAGCCAAAGCACTGAGGAGAGAGGGGAGCTGTTTTGGAGTTCTGTAATGCCCAAGGGTCTGTAATGAGTAATATAAAGACATGGAAATGAGAAAAGGAAAATGTAGGCTGAGTATCAGAGAAATTTTGCCACCAGAGTAACACAGTGAATGGGGGATGGAGAATAGGGGTTCCAGGAGGATGGGTCTCCTTAAGGGATGCTGGTGTGGGACGCGTGGCATGCTGTGTTTCCCAGGGGCTGTTGGAAGGAGACAGGCAAGGTTTGGATCTTGCTGGGTTTACATCTGGATATTCAGAGGTGGCACCTACAACAGTGTGAATGTAGGTAGAG